CTACATCAAATGTTTCAAAAGCAATCCAGCAATGCAAAATGTTAACATTTACTATAATTTTTGAATATTTATACTTCTAGATATTTACTGGGGGTGGGGGACCCCAGATGTCCTAGAGCCCTAAGTTTCTGATTACGACACTCATGGTAATGTTGCTTATAGACTGCAGGGGGCGATGTTTCTCTGCTCTGCCTATTTACTTCAAAACAACTTTTTTTTACATTTGTGTGTGTGCGTGTGTGTATGTGTGTGTTTGTGTCCTCTGAGAAGAAATGATCCTGTGTATGCCGACACTAACAGCTGCCCTCAAGAATGTTATTTTTTCTTATATTTTTTTATTCAATTAGCCCCCCTCACGGTTTCTCCACACTGATCGTGTTGTATGTTTCCATTCAAACTGTAGGTTTTCAGTTCAAAAACCATTTGCAACCTCGACACAGTCTTTTATGTTCAGAAGCCTCGTGGAAATTGCTTATTTTCCTTTTTTAAATGCACCTGCATTTTCATTCAATCTGGAGATCTTACAATAATTCTTGGACATTCAATCTCTGCCCCATTATTCCAGAAAAATAGGTTTTAAATTCCATTGGGGTTAGGGGCAATTGTGTTTATCAGCTGATAATCTGAATGCAATTCTTGCCAGCTCTACTATAGAAAAATTTAAATGTAAATAAAAGTCAAAGCCCTCTTTCTGCTTTTCAGCATCCTGTCATCTTTCCAGCTCTCCTTCTCTCTTTGGGCTCCTTCAAGGGTCTTTTCACACGCTAACCGCTCTCTTCTCGCTGTGCTGTTTAACCAGCCATGCCAACAGCTGCAAATTGAGGGTGTTATTTGGTGTTTAGAGCCGTCATATTGTTCAAAGAGCCACCACTTTTCTTCCTTTGTAAAACAATGACGGATGCACTGAGATGAATGAGAGGCAGAAAATATTAAGGGAGGATGTGGAAAGATGTGAGGAGTGGGTTAAGGTGTAATAAATGTGTTATACATTAGTATCTACAGTATTGTATTTTTTCAGTACTGTATATTTCGCTTGTTTGATCAACCAGAAAATATTCCTATCAAAATCTAATTTGACTTGCATAACTTCCATTATTTAAAAACAGTACAATGTTATTAATCTGAACCAATGCTAAGAGATTCATTCATAAATTCAGGATCTAATTTTATCCACAAAACAATAAACTGTAAAAAAAATTCAACCTGAAAAAAGTTAAAATTACTTTTTTTTTGTTGCTTGTTTGGGGAAAAAAAATAAAAAAAATAAAATAATATATATATATATATATATATATATATATATATATATATATATATATATATATATATATATATATATATATATATAAATATATATATATATATTCAATATAACAACTACATTCACCACGTTTACTTAACGGGCGGAGAAAGACTTTTAATTTGAATTTTCATCTCAGATTTACCTGGTTCCCTCTACAAAATGAAATGCTTAGAGCATGGACTGTTTGCATATGTGCCTCCCACTTGTTAAGGGTCCAAAAGTAATTGGACAGAATAATAAGCATAAATCAAACTTTCACTTTTTAATACTTGGTTGCAAATCATTTGCAGTCAATTACAGCCTGAAGTTTGGAATGCGTAAACATCACCAGACGCTGGGTTTCATTCCTGGTGGTGCTCTGCCAGGCCTCTACAGCAACTGTCTTCAGTTCTTGCTTGTTCTTGGAGCATTTTTCCTTTAGTTTTGTCTTCAGCAAATAAAATGCATGCTCACTTGGATTCAGGCCAGGGGATTGACATGGCCATTGCATAACATTCCACTGCTTTCCTTTCAAAACTCTTTGGTTGCTTTTGCAGTTTGCTTTGGGTCATTCTTCATCTGCACTGTGAAGCATCGCCCAATGAGTTTTCTTGCTTAGTATGAGCAAGAATGTTCCAAACAGTTGTTTTGGCCATCCTTAAAGTTTCAGCTCTCTGATGGGTTTGTTTGATTTTTTTCAGCCTAATGATGGCTTGCTTGACTGATAGTGACAGCTCTTTGGATCTCATCTTGAGTTGACAGTAACAGATTCCAAATGCAAAATAAAATCTGAAATGAACCTGGAATTAACTCTGAACCTTTTATCTGCTTATTGTAATTGGGATAATAGGGGAATAACACACACCTGGCCATAGAACAGATTAAAAGCCAATTGTCCAATTACTTTTGGATCCTTAACAACTGGGAGGCACATATGCAAACTATTGCAATTCCTATAGAGTACACCTGATTTGATCAAATTAAAGCTGACGGTCTGCAGTTAAAGCACGTGACAAATCAAACGCTCAAACAATTAAAAAATAAGTCAAAATACATTCTCAAATGATAAATCAAATGTATTTGATATTTATTTTTTTATGACAAAATTCTGTATAAAATTCCTGATTATACACACACAGCTGGAGCTCATAATGGACTGCTCACTAAGACTATAAGACATTTCATTCACACAGACTCTTTGCTGAGTCTTATTTTTCCCTGTGAAGCATTACAAAGCAATTTCTCTGCTTGTCCTGTCATGTTTTGATCCTTGTCTTGTTTACTGTTATTGTTGTTTTGTCTCCTGTCTTGTTTCTAATTATGTGTCTAATAATTTTTTTGTTAACATTAGTCTGTTTTATTTTTTCATTATTATTATTATTATTTTTACTTTTACTATGTTTATTTTTACTGATAATGTTTTATTTCTTAGTACCAGTTTCCAAAAGAGTTTTTTGTTCACTCAACTTAAGACATTTTAGGTCAGTGCAACTAACTAACATTTCATAAGTTGAGCAAACAAGAATTTAATTTTAAGAATAAAATAATTTTAGATCAGTGCAGCAGATGTATTTAAAAGTTGAGTCAACAAAAAAAATTTAAAAGAAATAAGGATTATTGAGGTTCTTGTTTATTGTAGTACTGGCTTATTTTTGTACAGAGCCGTTATTAATACAAGTACTATACACTAACTAGGGCTGCACAATATATTGCTCTGAGCATTGATATCGCAATGTGTGCATCCACAATGGTCACATCGCATATATATATATATATATATATATATATATATATATATATATATATATATATATATATATATATATATATATATATATATATATATATATATATAGGGAGAAAATAAAGATTGATTAAAAGATCAATCAAAAGATTTGTTTTCAATTTTTGTGCCCGAATACAAATCCACTAGCCTGAAATCCATAAAGTACTGTTTCTTTCACTTTTATGTTTGCTCTATTGCATTTAGCTATACTTGTAATTTGTTTATTACATTCCGTTCATGATTTGTTGCCCTAAGGCACAGATGACCAAAGTAGGGCCCACAGGCCAAAGTTGGTCCATTGTAACTTTTGATTTGGCCCGCCATAGAGAGGTAATGATGAAGAGGGTTGGGGCAGTTGCATTTAACACAGAGATCGTCGTTTCTAATTTGACAATCTTTTTAGCAACAAAAAAGCAAACTGAAATTAAATGTTTCAATGAAACCAATTTTTTAAAAATGTAAATACATTTTATTTAAGGCAAAAAACTGTGTAATTATAATATATCTAATAGATTGTTTCTACTTTAATAAGTCCATTATAAAATGTAAAAAAAAATACAATATAAGCTAATTTAAAAAAAGCTTTCTAGTCATTTTTAAACATTATTAAATAATAATTATATTTACCTTTGGCCCACCAGCCTCAATCAAGTTTGGTTTTTGGCCCTTCATAAGATATAGTTTGGGCACCCCTGCCCTAAAGAATCATGCCAATCAAAAGAAAATTAATCAATTGTTTCCAAATAAAGGGGTTTAAATCATCTGGTGAAATTGTATGTATATTGCAGAAATACAAAGATATTGCAAAGATTATTATACAAATGTCAGATTTTTCCAGTATCAAGCAGCCCTAATAACATTTATATTTAAAAAGAATACAACAACAATAAGAATAATAGTAATAGAAATAATAATTACAAATACAATAAATAAATAAATTTAAAAAAATAATAAAATAATAATAATAATAATAATTGTCCTTCACAGCAAGGCTGCATTTATTTAATCAAAATAATGTTCAGTTTCACACTATCCTTCATGGTAATATACCTAAATATAATCCAAGCTAATGCTAATGGTATCATTATATCTATGTTTTGTATTGAGAGATAATTTACATAGTTAATTAAGAACTAATGTTATGAGCCTCCATTATGAATATTACATGTTTAAGACGCAAACAGGTAAATTTATGGGCCTGAGAGTTAGCTAACTAATGGTGTGATTGTGGACTGGCCCATCTATTTATTCAACCAATGGCGTATGGGGGAGGGTTCGGGGAAACTTGTTTGAAGTGCTTTTTTTACTCGGCTCCATTTAGAGGCTCTACTGGTGCTGAGGTTGCCTCAGGTCTTGTTTGATTCAGCACCATGGACAGCTGCCTTCAAATTACAGTTGCAGCTCACATACTGAATATGCTATTATAAAACTGAACCCTGCTCAGCCTGACCCTGAAACACACACTACTGCACAAAACTAACAAGCTTTACATGCAGAGAGTAGGCAAGAGAAGTGAAGATGTCTGGCTCGCAAAACATATTTGAATTTCACTTAATTACTTTATCAATTCACTCAAAAGCTTATCTATTTCACATTTTGCTCTGAAATCACAGATCAAGCTAATCTATTTGTACCATATAAATACTGTCAAAGCACGACTGTACGATTTTGACAAGCACATTTCTCATTAGATTTTTTCATTAAATTAAAACGAATTATTCCGTGAACAATTCATGTAACTCAGCGCTTTTTTATTTGGGTGAACGAGGATAGAGTCCCATCAGCCTGTCTGGATATCTCCATGTTTAATGAAATGTGAATTGACAGTGAGAGAGAGAAAGAGAGAGAGAGAAAGAGAGAGAGAGAGAGAGAGAGAGAGAGAGAGAGAGAAAGAGAGAGAGAGCGCACAGCCCACTGGCTGAAAGGGAGGATGCAGCAGCATAGACAGAAAAGCAAGGCTGAGGATGGAGGATAGAGAGATGAAGAGAGAGAAGAGAGATTCACAACACTCTCTCCACTGATCATAGCAGGTGCTGGACTTTCATCCACATCTCACTGATGTCCGAGGAGGAATGGCTGTGCGGTAGGACCCGATGAGCTCCAGAATCTGACCGAACGAACTTCAGATTCTCTTCCAGTCTCAAGCTCATCGAGCGGCTCTTTCATTCTGTCCCAACTTTTTTTTTCGCGGGATCTTTGCGGCATTTCCCGCCTTTAAATCAGCGTGAGCTGCAGCGCACGAACGGAGGCTGATGATGAATATGAAACACATCAGATCGGGCATATAATGGGCATCGAGGATACGGGCATGAGGAACGGACGGGCTCTGTCCGATCAGTGGGCCGACAGCGTGGTGGTCCGACCCCGGACTACCGAGCAGCACATCACGGTGCATAAGAGACTGGTGCTGGGCTTCGCCATCTCCATCCTCACCCTCATCATCGTCACGGCCATCGCCATCACGCTCAGCGTCAGCTTCGAGAGATGCGCCGCGGAGAGCAGCGGGGCTCTGGCCGCCAACGGCTCCAGCAACAGTAAGTGGAAACAGTCACGGGACGGGAACATCAGTCACAGAGACTCGGAGGACGGCCAGCAGCCCTGGAGACACCTGCGCTTACCGGCCACCCTGCGCCCGCGCCACTACGACCTCCGCCTGACCGTGCACATGGAGAACTTCAGCTTCTCCGGCGAGGTGAACATCGAGTTTGAGTGCGTCAACTCCACCAAGCTGATCGTGTTGCACTCGGACCGGCTGGAGCTAGACAAAGTGCTGGTGTTTTCGGACAGTAAAAAAGCGGGCGCCATGCGGATCCAGCGCCGCTTCCACTATCAGCCCAAACAGGTGTATGTGATCGCGCTGCACAGAGAGATGAAGCCCCTCAGAACATACAAGATCAACATCACCTTCACCGCGCACATCGAGCACGAGCTGCTGGGCTTCTTCCGCAGCTCCTACATGCTCAATGGAGAAAGAAGGTAAAGGCTGTTTACGGTGTCACTTTCAAAGCCTTTCATATGCTGATTAGGTGTCAACAGTTATCATGGGAACGACAGATGCTGATGCAATCTGCAAGTTACCTCAACTCACCTAACTTGGATCAATTAAGAGCTCAGTGCTTCATACAGCAATTAAAACGGTAAAAGTAAAGCAGTTAAAGTGTTCAATTAGCGGAATTCCACATTAGCTGTTTTGTTTGGGCCAAACATTAGTTACAGTTTGAGAAAAAAACTTTTAAGTTTATATTTGTGTTTATTTTGAGGTTATATTATAAGAATTCGTCATTCGAATTTATGGAATTCTTCACGTTTTGCATAGAATAGTGCAAGTCAGGGTTTTGCCTGCTCAAGTAAAACAACAAAAACAACTTCAGTTATAAAATAAACAGTTTAAGATCTAGGTTATAGTTGAGCTGCATGCACTCCTCTAATACTACTGACTGCATGTGATTTTCCTATCTCTGTGACAGTAACTGTTCGTGATTGTTCGTGGAGGTCAGAGTTCAGACAGATCTGAATGAATGCTAATCAAACTTTCCTGTCACATCAGCTACATTTAAAAACTCCTTTACTGTAAAACATAGAGTGATAAAAATTCTTATATTTACATCAGGGTAACCTTAAAGGAACTAGTTAATTGTATATTAATGCAGCTACAGTGCTGCTGTTCAGTTAAACTAATTAACAAATTAAGCCAACAAACTGATTATTAGACAATTTTAATGTTTGTAAATCATCTGTTCACCTCTTGTATTCATATGTAACTCAGATAAGCATTTGATTAACAAAAGCACATTATATAATCTTAGAGTTTTACAGTTGTTTTGAGTCTCATATCTCTAGTTATTTCAGGTCAGCCGCACTGAATATCAGCTTCTTGCTCCTCGTTTCCGGCTTCTGACTCTTCGTCCTCTGAGGAAAACTGGCTGATATTTGAATCTTTGCCCCAGGTTTTCCTGTATTTGAGACATGTTTAAGCTTTGTTTTACCCTGAAGGGTTCGCTTTCATGGATACACTTCTGTCCATCTACTAGTTTCCTCTCTGCCTTTGCAGAAACTGCTGAAGCTTCAGTCTCCGCTGTAAACACAGCATGTTCCGGGTTCACAGAAAAGATTCTTCATCAAAAGCTTTTTTCCAGCACAGGCTGAGGTCTTAATATTAAGAGCGTCTCTGAAATAAATTCAGCATGTTTATGTTGAGACAGCATCTCTCAGCTCCACGGGCTCTGAAGATCATCTAGTTTACTGTAATCGGCTCCTGCTGTCTGCTCGTATTTCCTGAACACCATGAACTGCAGGATCTCGCAGGATTGAGAAAATACCTGTGTTTATGTAGTTAGACGTGGGCGCTGGAGCATCAATCCGACATCTGATGGTCTGGTTTATCCTGACTTTTACCTGAAAGGTTTTCTCACACATGAACAGGCAGAAAACATCTCCACCCAACTCAAACACCTCCACGTGCGTCACTGAAATGTTCTTTCAGTCTGACATGCCTGCAAATTCTTCTTCTGTGTGTCTGCTTGTCTGATTTCTCCTCACCCCCTGCCTGTGTCCTCACTGGGATTTTTAAATAGTGTACAGAAGTTTAAATGGTACTAGTGTCTACTGTATAGATAGTGGAGATGTAAACAGATGGGACATTATCATTATAGATTATTAGTGCATGAATGGCTGCTAATGAGAATGAAAAGCCGTCACAGAAAAGCAGGAGTGAACAGAACACTCTGCTGGTCAAGCTGTGAGTGGTGACAGCGAAATCAACCTGTGAGATTTGATGAAAGTTTTAAAGACTGCCTTAATTCAACAAGTGAAATTGTTCACTGACATCTACCGTACATAATAGGTATGTGGTTTAGGTGAGTTCAAATGTAATCCAGAAATGGTTTTATATGCTCATAAATAACAATACAAATTAGTAGGATGAGAAACCTCACTTTGACCATATTTGAAAACATCATGATTATTAATGAGCTCTGCTTACTGCTTTTTACACGTGCAATATAATTATACTTTTGTCAAAAAATCTTTTTACAAATTGAGTAGATGCCTTGTTAAATTCTAGTGGTAGCGAGGTTTATTTTAGCTGCCGATTTTACACCACCAGAGTAACTTATTTTGCTGCTAAGATGTGGTATAAATGAAATATAGTCTATATTATACTTGACAAAATGGAACAACAGGGACAGATTTAGAATGTATTTAGTATTTATAAGCCCCAACGGACACTACCTAACAAAAGTCTTATCACCTTTCCACGTTTTAGGAACAACTAATAATAACTTGACTTCTAGTTGAACGTTTTGGTATCAAAAGTGGCTAATATGAAAGCCAATGGTCTGTAGATTACGACAAAACACAAAACTCTAGTCACTTCACAGAAATAAGAATAGTATAGTATAGAATATAGAATATAAAGTCATGGTGCAGTGGAAAAAGAATGAATATTGTGTATAACTCCCATGAGCTTGGAGGACTGCATCCCTACATTTCTGCAATGACTCAAACAACTTAATAATCATCAGGAAAGGCAAAGAAAGCATTCTTGCTGGACTCAAAGAGTTCATCAAGGTTCTTTGGATTCATCTTCAATGCCTCTTCCTTCATCTTGCCCCAGACATGCTCGATAATGTTTATTTCTGGTGACTGGGCTGGCCAATCCTGGAGCACCTTGACCTTCTTTGTTCCAGGAACTCTGATGTGGAAGCTGAAGTATGAGAAGGAGCGCTATCCTGCTGAAGAATTTGCTCTCACCTGTGGTTTGTAATGTAATGAGCTGCACAAATGTCTTGATACTGTTGATGTTGCCATCCACTCTGCAGATCTCTTGCAAGCCCCCATATTGAATGTAACCCCAAATCATGATTTTTCCTTCAACAAACTTGACTGATTTCTGTAAGAATCTTGGGTCCATGTGGGTTCCAATAGGTCTTCTGCAGTATTTGTGATGATTGGGATGCAGTTCAACAGATGATTCATCTGAAAAATCTGCGACTTTTCCAAATGATCAACTAAAAATACAAGCTATTATTTGTTGCTCTGACAACTGGGATCAATGACAAGACTTTTGTCAGGTAGTGTATATAAAATAATTACAATAACTACAATCAACACTTAAACTCAGCATTCTACATGTGTTTGTTGCCCCATTACAAACATATACAGCAAGTTTCACAATATACACGTTAAACTAGCAAAAGTTACATTTAAACATATCTTATGCCTCATAGGGGTGGTTCTGAATAAATGTATAATCCGTTTATCCTGCATTTTGCATTCTGATGTGCTGTGAAGAAATGGCTGGCTGAGAACTGCTCTTGTGCCATGGCACAAGGGACGCCACATCTATTAGAATTCTATATATTACTTACAGTTAAGGCTGGTTGATTAATCGAATGGTAGTCGAAACTTACATTCAGAACTTGATTTTTTTTTACTTTTTCTACCGCGTATAAACTTAAGTGACCACGCTCTTTTAAAGATGACCGTGGGCAGGGACAAAGGGCCTAGGTTGAGCACCAAGCCAGTTGGAGCGAGTGTTTATAAGTGTCGAGTCCTGTGAAGGAGCTCCATACAGTATGGAGACTTTTGTGTTTAATGTATGGTTAAAGTTGTTGCACGTCCGCCGATCACCACCTCTAAACGAGTGAGTTTTAGCTTCTTTTACATTAAGGCAGCATTCAGAAAAAACAAAACCCCCATGAGGAAACTTGACACAGAGAAACATAAATCCTGCTGCATGCTAGTGTTTTAGAAATGTTATTGCAAAGCACACAGAAGTATAAATGCATGGCAACACACTAGGCATCCACTGTGGGTCATGACGATCACTTGATGGAGAAGTATAAATCAGCCTTTAAAGACCTATACCTCTTAAAAGATCCTATAGCTGATCCACTTAGCAGCCCTATCTGATCACATCACCTTTCTTTGCACTACATTGACAATGATAGGCAACTGCGCCAGAGATACCTTGAGACAGTATGTTTTCCATTACATAAAAGTTATTTTTTACATTAACATATTTATTTACAGAAGGTGCAAGAATTGTACAGTTTAAAGCATTATTTACAGGATAAGCAAGAGCTATTTTATTCAGAAGAAATACTGCTTATTTTCTACTTTTAACATGAAATTTAAGTCAATGTGTGTTTTAATTTTAGTTGTTCAGCGTTGATGTTCTATAAATAATCATTGACAGTAGACAGTGTGTTTCCTTCATTCAAAAATGTCTCACTTGTAATATGTGGGGATATTTACTGTACAAAACTAGTCAGTGAACTATGAGAGGGAAAAAATAATCATTTACCATAATCTAGTTAAAATGTTAAATTAAACTAGATTTTGATTTTAGGCCAAATCGCCCAGCTCTACTTGCAGTCAAACCAATAATTATTCACACAACTAAACATATTTTGTCCTGTTAAATTTATATTTTTTCATTTTAGTAATGGATGCAGGGTATTATATAATGCATTCATGTAAGTAAAGGCATAACAATGTAAAGCAAAATGATGTACTCCAAAGTCCTAAAAACCAAAAAGAGCTAAAAAGCAACTGCAACAAGTTTGAGAAACTACTGAAGTTCAGCTTTGATGAATCTGGTCGACAGAAGAGACTATAGGCTGTCACTGAGGCTCAGGGTGAACCAACAAAGTATTGAGAGTCAAGTAAACATTGTCATATCAGTTGTCTGAAAGCACTACATTACAAACTGCACCTTTTTATCCTTCAATGTTATCTGGCATTATCAAGATGAAATTGTTCTGGCACAGAATAACTGTGAAGAATTGAGTTCCTGTCATATTTTATCTTTGTTTTATTTCTAAACTACATAAACTGTGAAAATGTGAGACATGTTGAAAGTATATATTTTTTATTTGGCTATATGAATGTTTGTAGATCAGACACCTAACTTTGCTTCCAATGGCCTGAATGTGAATATTTATGGTGTAATATTTCACTTAAAAGACACCAATGCAACTACATGCAAGACCAGATTGACAGCTATTCCTGTTATTAAAAATGGCACATGTGTGTGTGTGTGTGTTTTAGATGTCACAATGCAGATATCCATTAAAAAACATGACTCCAGTCTAGCAATTCTGCTATGATTTATAATATGTCGACATCTGATGTAATTTAGCTGCTGCAGTGAAATAATTTTGTCCATCTTCACGCCAGGAAGCTCATTAGTGTAATAAAAATGCAAATCGATGAGTCCAGCGATGGCAGTCTAAGCTAATTTGCATTCAGGAAAGTCATGTGACATCCAGTTTAATGAAGTTGAGGTGAAATGACTTTTCACCGCAGAATCTTAGAATAGTTCAATCACACATATAAATATTCCAGAGATTTATTTCATCTCACCTTTCTGTCCTCTGCAGGTTTCTGGCGGTGACGCAGTTTTCTCCGACTCATGCTAGAAAGGCCTTCCCGTGTTTTGATGAGCCCATCTATAAAGCCACATTCAGAGTGAGTCTGAAACACGAGAGCTCGTATCAGTCGCTGTCCAACATGCCAGTGGAGGCCACCACATCTGATGAGGATGGATGGGTGACCAACCATTTCTCCAGGACGCCCCGCATGTCCACGTATTACCTGGCCTGGGCCGTTTGTAACTTCACCTACAAAGAAGCAGTCGCAGACAATGGAGTCCTGGTGAGTCAGTTTAATTCCCCAAAACTCAGTTGGAAACAGCTGACTGAGATTTAATTCTTCCAGAATGCTTCTCTAAAACTAGTGAGCAGCATTTTAAGGATTCACAAAACTGCTTCTGATGATAAAAGTTCCAAAAAGGTTTACAATTCTCATTAATTAACATTAAATGAATCAAATTGTATCAACTTCAAATTTATCAACAGTGATCAACAACAGTGTTCGGCTCGTTCCTTTAAAACTCTTAAAGTCAAGTACTATTTTGGGGTTTCCACCTGGATTTTGCCTACCTAAAATAAAAATATTTACAAATCCACATGCAGAGGTGTAAATGTAAAAGTAAAAACCCTCCATAAAACACAGTTGAAACTGATTAAAATAATTGTATATGTAGTGTTATAATAAACTCCATTAAAGGCGTTTTGTTTGTGAACTCAAATTTGAAAGTGTACCTTTTAGGTTCTGTGTGGTCTAGGTTGCTGTAATTTATTGTGTTGGTTCCTGCACTTGTCAGTAATCATAAGAAAAAAGAAAAATATCTCTATTATAATCTATGCAAAAGTTATTCTATTCCAACTGATGAGAGAACAGAACCACTTATGGGGGTATTGGGCCAGTATGGACCTTTAAAATTTAAAGAATGCAGAAGAAGTTAGAAGTTTAGGAGATTAAAAGAGTAATTAGTTATAGTTACTAGTTACTTCTCACAAATAGTGTATGAGTTAGTAACTGGGTTACATAATTATAAAAGTAACTAATTACCTGGGAAAGTAACTATTGCATTATTTTAAAATAAAATTGAATGTGGCAAATGATTATGAAGCAAATATAAATCCTTGTACACTAATACACACTATTATAATGTTGTTGTTGGACAATGTGAGAGACAACCATCAAATTCAACATCATTATAGGTATTATCATTACTATAGTTGAACAATAAAACACGTTAGATGGTTTAGAACTTTAAGTATTTATTGCACGAGCTACAACTCACAAGATTTGTCAACAGGCACGTCTAAATATATAATAAACAGGTAGCAGAGCTCACATTATCACCTGCTTTCTTAACCACTATTTTTGTGGCAACATTTGAGGACTTGGGAGTGCTTCACTAGATTAGAATTACTAGTCACCGATGCAAAAAGACATTCTTGTCTTTCACCTCAATGAGGGAAAAGTAGTGCTTATATTTCCAGTTTGCAAAAGCTACATTTGAACTTGTTGGTAGCTATAGGATGATAAGCGTTTTTAAGGTATACCGCGGTTTGGAAAAGATAAGGTTTTAAAATCACCAAAAATTTATGCTATATTGTTCCTATAGTATATTTAATATTTTTTATTACCTTTTTTTTTGTTTTTTTAGGACAACAGTATCTCCAGCAGAAAATATATCCAAAAATGCCTTTTGAAATTGTAAAGAAATCTGTTTTTAAAACTACAGCAAAAGTCAATACTTCATTTAAGTTATTTAAAAAGTTTACTGTCCCAAATCATTTTAAATGTCCCTCAAAATAAAATATATTGTGTTCAAAAGAAGGAAAAAGTTTTTTACCCTGACATTTAAAAAGAATATATTTTCGAGCAGTAATCACAATATTGTCAAAGCATAAAACCGTGATATTTTATCCATATTTTTACCGTCAGAATCTTATACTGGCCCATGCCTACTTGTTGGATCTGCCATCGTTCTGACTCTTGGTCACTTGTGTTTTGTTTTTTCCGCACTACTTTGCCTCTGATTGGCAAACAATAGAAACTGACTTTATCTAAGTCAAGCATCATCACATTCTCAGTTACACCACGTTCACAGACAAACCAGTCATCATCCAGTGTTTATACAGGAACAGAGAATAAAATTCAATACCTTTAAGTCATTTTTTAAGACTCTTTCCATACACATTAAGACCTCATCGGCAACATTTTAGCTTACAGTATATTTACTAAATACGGATTTTAAGCTAAAACATCATTGATATACTGAATTAAAATGCTAATCCAGCTGGTGGCGCCTATAGAACAGCAGAAATAAAAGTACTTCCCTGGCTACTGCAGTAAACAAAGCAGCATGATGTCAAATCTAGCAGGATTTTATTAATACACAACATCCCAATATTCAAAGATTAAATGTAGGCAATAGCATACTGATACAAAATGAAGTACCTTGTAAAACCACATTTAAGACTTTGTAATACTTTTTAAGAGATTTAAATGGATTTATCAACTTTTAAAACTTTTTAAGACACCGCAGACACCCTGTCATCACTGGTTGGTTATGTGTCCCGCCCTAGCCCCAAACACACACACATACCCCAGAAGGAGAGGTCCTATGGCTGAGAGAGCCGCTGCTCGCATGAAAACCTCTTCAATGTTCTCACACAAATATTATTGTCAGTAACAGTAATGGTATTGTAATGGGGTAAACAGAAATTAATTAAATTACTCGATACTGAAAACAAATATTGCCGTTAGTAACACAGTTTATTTATAGTGCTGTTATTCCTATCATTAATTAAAGAATCCTGCAAAAAATCAATCAACCAATCAATCAATCAATCAATCAATGTTTTCAACATAACAAATAATAAAACCGCTAATTAGCATATCACATTAATCTGTGTAGGACCATGTGACACTAATGCCTGAAGAAATGGTGCTAAAATTCAGTTTTATCCATCAGAAAATAACATTTTAACATTTAATAAACAAAAGGTTTTGGTAAGACTTTATTTGGATGGTCCCTATTGCACATTTTGTTAACTAAAAGTTGTAATTAGCATGTAGTTGCAATGCTTCTCATTTGAGTATTCATAGACTGCCTGCTTAATGTCTGCTGATACAGATCCTTCAACAGACATCAGTAACTTTGCAAGTACATATCAACTTACACTAACCCCAACCTAGCACTCTACTTATAATCTAATGAGAATTAGTTGGCATGTAGATACAATGTTACTTAAATTCAATAAAATGCATTAAATGTACCAACAAAATGAAGTGATACACAGTTTTTAATGTAATATTCTTTAGTACTACTGTTTGACTTTATTTTTCCTCAAAGAAATGCAGCCCTACAAAGACCTAAAAATCACTCAGTCCCCAAACTTAATATTACGCATATTGTTTATTTTTTAAGTAATATTACGCTTAATAAATCTAAAAAAGTGTTTGCAATCTAATTATAAATGCACTGCTTTAACAAGTATTTGTGTGGGCTGTGTATCTAATGTTCATTGGCCTTCTGAATCACTTTATTGGCAATATGTTAATCAAAGTTTATTGTTTTCAATTGTAAATTGAATATCATAGTATTGCTCATATACTGTGTTTGCAGTTTATGTCAGGTTTTCAAATTTGTGACCTTAGAAGGTAGAAGAAAGACCGCAAGTTTTGGAACAAGGCTCTTTATTATCTTGCTTACTGTCAGTATGCTTATATGAGGTGTAAAGTTTTGTACATAAACTAATGCACAAACTACTAACTTAAATGTTTTTTTTTAATTTTTTTATTTTTTTATTCTCCTTTGCTTACCAAGCCTGGGCTTATTTAATCAAAAGTACAGCAAAAACAGTACAATTTTGAATTTTTTTTACTATTTAAAATATATATTTTTGGAATATATAAAAAATTTAATTTAATTTAATCTTGTGATTTTAAAGCTTGAGATTTTTTGCATCATAACTTTAGTCGCAGGGTTGTCCAGAAATCATTTTAATATTCTGATTGCTCCTCAGAAAACTATGTTGAAAACAGCTGAGTCGATTGTTTTTCCGGATTTCTTTGACAAACATATATTTTAGATAAACAGCATTTATCTGAAATTAAATCTTCTGTGACATTGTAAATGTCTTTAACATCCCCTTTTAATCAAGTTAAAGCATACTTGCTGAACAAAAGTATCAATCCCCTCCCTTTATTTACTCCAAGCTTTTGAATGGTATAGTGGAGTGCTTCTCAACCACGTTCCTGTAGGATCACTAGCTCTGCACGTTTTTCATGTCTCCTTAACCAAACAAACCTGATTCAGATCATCAGCTCATAAGCAGAAAGACCTGTGATGGGTTTGACAGACAAAGGAGATATCCAAAGCATGCAGTGTTGGTGGGCCTCCAGAAACGTGGTTGAGAAACACTGGTATAGTGTATGTTACAAAAGATTTTTATTTCAAATAAATGCTGATATTTGGACTTTTCTAATCATCAAGAAACTTTGAAGAAAAATACTCAACTGCTAATAAATAATAATAATATTAATAATAATAATAACAATAATAATAATGATATTCGAAATGCAGTTTGAAATATATTTAAATAAATAAATAACAGTTACTTTAAATAGTAAAAATATTTACAAATTTAACTGTTTTTGAAGTGAGCAGAAGATAAACAACCTTATTTATTATAACTTTTGACCGGTAGCAGATAGTCGATACATAATGGTTACACAATGATTATATAATGTAAATAGTCAGCTCTATTGATATTAGTCCAGTGGCTACAAATTCATATGCCTTAAAAAGGCTTAGAATTACATGTGCAACTGGTGTCCACTTATATATGCTGATATCAAGGATTGGGTTCATGGTGAACTCATCCATGTTTTAAATGTCATATGAGAACATTCTTGAGGTGAAGTTTAGACAATAAGAAGCAGCTTCACTGTATTATTTTTATCACATGCACTTAAATGTTTTTATTTTGGGCACTGGATCTCAACAGTTTGCTACTGATCCCCTGATTACTCAGAGTCCTAGTCATATTAGACACTTCCTGATGGCTTCCTCAGAGTCTCCTGCTGTTTGCCCTTGCTCAGCCTCCTCCTCATATTAGTGTAATTAATCTCTCTCCTTCAGCATGACCGCGCTCTCCTTTCTATCAAATCATCTCTGCCATGCTGACTGTGCTCTGTGCTTCTATCTGGGGCATTTATGCCCACACCGTGGCTTGTAGCGGTTAGCCGAGCGCCAGTTTCCCCCATCAATCACATTAAAGCGGCGGGGCAGC